CCAACAAAACAAGACACAAATAGGCTCCAGTGTCATTTGATGGGAGCAACTCGTAACAGGGCAGACTGTGATGGTTCCAAACTGAGCAGATCCCAAAAATGCAGACCAGGAGTGGATCGAGAACAAAAAAAATAATTTATAGCAAAAGCTGGTTGCGAGACCAACAACATACAACATAAGTTGCTGGGAGAAACACAGAGTAAATAATACAACTAATGAAAACAGCTTACCAAAGGCAAGAGAAATAACCCCAAATCACTTTTCCTAAAATGACAAAGCGAAGCCAATCAAAAAGTTAATCATGAATGCACCGAGGACAGCAAATACCAAAATAAACAGAAGAACAACAAGAACAACAAACCAGAACAATGACAGATTGAAGGACAAAAATCGAAAGCGACGAGAGTCTAGAATACAGAACTTGGACGTGAAACGGGAGCAAGGCGAATATTCCGACAACTGGTGACGGCGAGACAGTCTCAAAACAGGTCAATCATAGCATGATGAGAGACAGCTGCAGAACGGGATGAGCCCTCCACTGCCACTTGCTGGAGACAAAACAAAACTGAACCATGACAGACTCGGTGCGATGCATCATCTTTACACCTGACTGGAAAACCTCCATGACATTGTTTATCCCAAGAAAGAGATTTTTTTAAAATAAAAGACAGCCTGCAAATGGTCTAAAATTAGACAGCACATCTTGATCAAAGCCAGGTTTATTAAGCAGGGGTTACACAACCACATGTTAAAAATGCTGGGTGACTACACCAGAAGACCGACTGCTGTTGATAAGGACCATTCAGATTGTTCTCCGCGCACAGCTCAAAAGTCAGCATCTGGGACCTTATGAAGGTGTGTTAGTGCCCATGCATTGGTCACTTGCACACCTGTGAGGGCACTATAAATGGTTTTGGACAGTGGTGTTGTGGGGATTTTTTTTAAGTGGGTGTACGCGATTCTGGGATGTTCTATATATACATACAAAACATCAATCATAGGCTACAACACACGTTGAACTAACGTTAAATTTAATGTTTTACTACTCCAAAATAATCACAGGCCAACGTTATTAAGCATAACTCACATTAGGGCTAAAACCGAAATAAAAATTTAATGTGGCGTCGGGAGAAGTGGGTGGACGGCGTACCACGCCCACTCCACCCCTGGTTTTGGAGCACATCTTGCTTACATTCAACCAACTTCTTTTCCAGGAATGCCCCTTCTTATTTCAGCAATACAATTGTAAGCCACATTCTGCACATTACAACAAAATGGCTTCGTAGTAAAAGAGTACAAGAGCAGCAGTCCAGAACGGTCTCCCATTGAAGATGTGTGGCAAAATTATGAAACACAAAATTTGACAAGGGACACCTGATTTCATTATGTGTTTAGACTGTTGCTGGCACATCACACTATGGCAAGTGAAGAGGGACATATTACATTGGCGTCGGAAACTAAAGAGCCATTTGAACCTGTTTCATGAAAGAAACCATGGGAGCCACAAGCCCTTTTGATATCAAACAGTTATATCAAACAGAGATATCATTTTCCCCCTCTCCCCCTTTTTTCTTTTCATTTCTGCTACAGACACCGCCTTGAGCCAGGTGGCCCTTCAATGTGATACGTCAGATGCGCTGACGTATCACATATTGGATGTGGCCATTGTATTATCCATAAATTGGCAAATAATATTCATAAAATCAATTTAGAATGAGAACACAATCAAAAGCAATATATTAATCCAATGAGCAACTGAAGCTATACATCAAACAAGAATGAGGAATAATACCACCTCCAAAGGATCAACAATTATGAAAGTGTCTTGAATTCCCAAATGCTTAATGATTGCTGTTAAAAAGAACCCAGTCAGCAAAATTGGTCTGGCCCAGCTCTGGCGCGGACACGGCACGACACTCGGCCCACATACCGCAATGAATGACGGTCCTGCAGTGGCCCGGGTCTGGCATCCATGATCCGGGCCGCATTTGGCCCGGATCTGAGCCGACACAGGTTTTCCAGCTACGTCCATGATGAACATGTTCTTCGACTCTCACCTTGTTTGAAACCCCCGGTTCTCAGTGTCCACCTTCCGTTTTGCCATTTTTGATGGGTATCTGAAAGCTAATGACACTGTTGTGGGAATGACTGCTAGACGAATAAATATTTAAATAAAGCGGCCGACTGCTTGGCGCGTCACCGTTGCATTGTGGGAAATGTAGTTTTGGTGCGTGTAAAAGATCTGCGGGCTCTCGGCTTGCTGCGGTCCGCGGGCCGGTTCTAATAATAAATCAATATCATCCCAGGGGCCACTGAAAACATTCTCGCGGGCCGGATTTGGCCCGCGGGCCGGCACTTTGG